ATGGTAAATTTTTTTGTTGTAGCACGATTCTGCACAAAGAATATTTCACAGAAGTACTGTCTTATATACCTGTTGAGTTTTTTGCTTTCTTTTGCTTTTTCTTCGCTATCTTTCGAAGGTGAACAAAAAAAGGTGTTTTCATTTGAGAGTAAAATAACACTCTTAGTTGTACAACAAAAAATTCCTCTTCCTCTTCTATATCTAATGTCCAGTGGGGGAAAAAATGGGAGAGTTATGCATTTGCACTCGTTAATTAGTTTCTATTTATTTATTTATTTAGTTTTTTGACGAAATGCGATGGTAACAGACGAAGAAGATGGCGTAAATTCTTCTGAAAAGTCTTTACTTATCTTCTGGTAGTGACTTTTTGATAACATTGCTTCTAGCTCTTTTGGAACCGAACCTTTAATTAATAAATGTAAACTGTTTGTGGCGGGTATTGTAATGCGAGCGAGTGGGGAGATGGCAGACAAAGCTGCCAAATAAGTGTAAGCTCTTTATTATGACAAAGTTACGGCTGGTCGACGAATGCTTATTAGAAAGGAATCAAAGGAAAGGGATAAACGAAGTCCAAGGGGCAGCAAACAGTCGATGCTCTTAGTGGCCTATTCTTGGGGTTGAATAAAATTTTACTGTCAGTTCACGAATTTGTAGCTTTTGCCTTGTTTCCATGGGGCATTCTTTGCCATCTGAAAGGTTCTAAGAAGTTTTTGGAAAATATATATCAACGTTTTCATACGCTGAAGCCGAAAGTATGGCAAATGGAGGGGAATCAAGCTGAAGCTGAAAAAAAAAGTGAAAAAATTTTGGCTTTAAGATAACGATTCTTTAAAAGAGGACATTTTTGCTACCATCTTAGCGCGAAGAATGTAAAAATGTTTTAATAGAAGAAAATTTTTTTCTTGGTTTTATTTACATTTTTTAGTTTTCTTTGTTTTCTTGGGCAAATAAACTTAAGCAGGAAAAAGGGAAAAACGAACGGCTTTTTATACCTATCTAATATTGTAATGACAACAAATTTGTTATTGCTTTCTTTTTTTTTTTCTTTCTATTTTTTTCCATTTTTCTTTTTGTTTCTACTGGGTTAATCAGATGATCCCTCTCGTGATCACTGTACAATGTCGGATTAGTTACTGTGTACAAAGGAAACGATGGAAAGCAGAATACCAGGAACGGGAGGAAGTCTCTGTGGGACAAGGTGTGACGCTTGCGAAATTCTAAATATGTCTGAGTGTCCTTCTTCAATAAAAAACAATTAGTCTAAACTTTTTTTTTCATTGGTTGTCTGCAAAGAAGTCTCTTTCTTGAATGTTGCTTTTGTTGTTATTGTCACTGTCATTATTATCGCATCTGTTAGTGTGTTGGTTACAATGTATCATCGCAATGCACTGGCAACGACTGGAGATAAATAAATAAGCAAAATTTAACGTTATGAAAGTTACGAGTACGGGTAGAATTAGGATTTAAAAAATGTAAAAGAATTGGTGCGATAAAGATTTGAAGTGATTTCAGCAGGCAGAGAAAAATGGAAAAATGCTAATATCTTATTATTGTTAAATACACATTAAAATATGTGATGAAATATTAGATTTTGCTTAATTAACAACTAGGCAACTGTTAACGTATAAACATTTCCAGTTTACAATTATCTCTTTAAAAGAGTTGTTATTATTTCATTATTTAATTACAGTCTTCTTTTCGCACAAAACTTTTGTTGCTGAAGACTTCTGACTTTTAACTAAAATGTTTTCAACTTTAAAATTTTATGTATTTTTCATCTGTTAGTAATTTTTTTCTTTCCTTTTTTTTTTCTATTTTTATTTTCACTTTTACCTTTTTTTGTTTATTTATTTTTTAGAACATTTCAATTGGCGTTGATGCATTAGAAAAGTAGTTATTTGACATTCCTTTTCTAATATAATATGAATGATGAAACAGGTGCATTAAAAGTATGTAAAGAGTAATAGAAGTTTTTACTTTTTTCTCTTGGTTTTGTGTTAACAAGGTAACAGTGATTTATGACAATGAAAAGAAACTTGTGGGAGAAAAATTTTTGAGTAAAGGTAGAAATCAAGTGTGTTGGTATTTATTTGTTTGTAAGTGTGTTTCTGTATGTATCTTTTTTTT